GAAGAATGGATTGGAATTTAAAAAACAAACAAACAAACAACATATCCTAACCTTAATTACTTTACTGGGGGAAAATGATGAATGGTGATCATAGTGAGTAAGAAGTAAACTGAGTGCATTTTTTGGACAGAGATTCACTTTTAACTCATTCACTGCCATTGACGGCTATAGACGTCAATTGAAAAACTTACGTTGAACTTACGTTACTTACTTACTTAAAAATGCACAAAAACCCTGGCAGTGGGGAGTTACCTGATTTGAAAATGGCTGGCAGTGAATGAGTTAATGTGTATGGTAAATGGTCTGTATTTGTATAGCGCTTTACTAGTCCCTAAGGACCCCAAAGTGTTTTACACATCCAGTCATCCACCCATTCACACACTGGTGATGGCAAGCTACATCATATGTATAATAAAATACAGATATATGAAAATAGACTCCAAAAATAGAGTCCTTGAAATGTACAAATTATTGATTAAAAGAAAATTATAAAAATGGAGGCAACTTTGCCTATGGTACAATGTATGAAAATATCTTTACTGCAGATACTACTATGGCTCTGCAGATTTATTCCTTTCATTTTAACCTGTGTTGCCTCACCTTAAAGTTGGCAGATACTTTTGGTGGTCAACTCTCACAAACAGTTTAGCAGTTTCTGTTTTGCCTGTCACTGTTCCCTGTCTGTTTTCTTACCTGGTTCTTTTCTTAGGACAATTTTAAATTTTAGATTTTAAATAGGCTGTATAAATTTCAATGGGAACAACAGGACAGTCAAATGTCGCTGATTTTACTACACAGTAGGATGGATTGTAGGGTAGCTAACATTGTCGCAAAACACGTTTTCAATACTGCAGGTTACCTGGGTGTAATGTTTTTCAGCTAAAAAGAAACATGGCCTGACTCCTACCTAACTAAATAAAAAGTAACTGAAGGTTAAATGCAGTTAACATGTCCCGTTTTAAACCAGGCACTTACACCTCCGACCCGCTGCGTCTCAGCCACCATCGCTCTGGCAGTAACGACGGCGCAAGAGCCAGAGTAGGTGAGAGCCGAACTGGAACAAACCATTTTGGGACGGGGGGGTATCTATACTTTTGTTGTTAAAATGTTACGTCTCAACCAAGTACTGCATGCTTTTTTATATTTTTAGTAGTGTGTAGTAGCAAGTATTGTCAAAAAAGAAAGAAATCTTTGGGGGTGCTTTGATTCATTTCGGGGGTGCTGAAGCAACCCCAAAAATGGGCTAAAATCACCCCTGGTTTTATCCAATCTCTGTAAGGAAATCCTGAAGTTCAAACAGGAACGTGTAGGGCGAAGAGAACTACATTTCCCTAAAGCCATCGCGCGAGTCTGAAACGAGGAAGCGAGCTGTTTATTAGAGAGAGGCAAACAAGAACAGCTAGCAAGAGAAAGGAGGCTGTAATAATAATTATTAGGCTGTCAAGGCAATATTGAATATTATTGAATGTAACAGACTCAATTTGGCGGTGACAATGAGCGAGGTTTTCTCGTATGAGAGTTTGGTTCATGCTGTCTCGGGAGCAGTGGTAAGTTGATCTTAGTTTCAGTATGCGCTGCTTAATTTTAAGTCACAAATGGAAGTTGCTGTAGCGTCACTTCTTATATGCTTTATCCAAACAGAGCTCAGTTCAAAATAACAATTTCCACTCCCAACTTTACCAAAAACAATAAATAGTAGATAATGTAGCTGTAAATGTGGAAGTGTTTACAATAATAATAACCTCTTTATTCGGCGAAATGTTTATGTACGTGTAACTTATTATACGCACCGAATTGAATACTGAATAACAATCATATATAAAACGTCTTATTTTAGATCCTAGTGTGCATTTTAAACAGTTTACATGTATGTTCCTGTAACTTGCTTGATTTTTATATGGGGTTCATTCGAGGATTTGTTCCATATGTCAAAAAAATGGCATGCCATGGATTTGTTACTGTTGCCCCTTTAGGGAAGTGTGACTGCAATGACAGTGTTCTTCCCTCTTGATACTGCCAGACTACGGCTCCAGGGTAAGAGAGCAGAAATCACAGTCTCATTTCCAAAAGTTTTGAGTTCTTTTGTTTTGTTTTTACTGAAAGAAAATCCCCATCTGTTTGTGTTCAGTGGATGAAAACAGGAAAGCCAAATCAACTCCAGCCATTCTGGCAGAAATTGTGAAAGAGGAAGGATTGTGAGTATAAATAGTGAAAATCTCAATGTGTTTCAAGCCAAAACTATTTTAATAAATTTGCACGCATCCCCTCAAACATCAAAATACAGTCTTTCAAGCAGTAGAAGGCTGCTAAGATGTGTTCCTGTGTTTACCTCTGCCCCCTAATTCAGACTGGCACCCTATAGAGGTTGGTTCCCTGTCATCTGCAGCCTGTGCTGTTCCAACTTTGTCTATTTCTACTGCTTCCACTGCCTCAAGGCTAGCTGGCTGAAAGGAAAACAGTCAGCACCAAGCACTGACTTGATCATAGGCATCGCAGCAGGTGAGGTGGTCATTGGCAAGATCTGCCATCTAATTTCAGACGAGTCCCTCATACCTTTGTCCTAAGAATGACTAGCGTGAACTCCTATTTAGTAGCCTATTCTGCACAGTGTATAAAACCAGTTTACATTATTTACATTTCTAAATGCTGAAACCGGTAGTAAAGATTCAATTTCATCTGCCTCTTTGTCTCTCCAGGGGTTGTAAATGTACTTGTCACCACCCCTTTGTGGGTTGTCAATACCAGACTGAAGCTCCAGGGCTCTAAGTTTCACAATGAAGACATCCATCCCACCAACTACTCTGGGATTCTGGGTAAATGACCTTACATTTTTCTTCTAATGAGTATTTGTGCAAACCTTCTACACATGTGCATACTACAAATTCTCTCTTTCGCGTGTTTGTTTCCAAATTGTTTTGATTTTGCAGATGCATTTGTGCAGATCATCCGTGACGAGGGCATCGCAGCACTGTGGAACGGGACCTTCCCGTCCCTGCTGCTGGTGCTGAACCCCGCTATCCAATTCATGATTTATGAGGGCCTGAAGAGGCAGCTGAGGAGAGGCATTCCCAAGGAGGTGAGTAAGAAAAGGGAAGGGAAGTATGCAGACATTGTCTGGTTGGTAATTCTGTTCACATGATTTGTTCAGTGGCTCTGCATGTGTTCCCTGATCTTTTGAACACCACGTTTTGAGACTTTTTTGGACACTACCGCAGCGTTTGTTGGTATGTTTATTAGCTAAGGAAAATCTGATAGGCAGAGTAAAACTTTAAACTACACCTGTTACTGAGGTCATCTGAACTCAAAACTTTCACCTTTGGGATACGTTTGTTCCTCTGATGATACACAAAAGATTCAGGTTCTTCTTTCTGCCCAAAGCTGTCATCACTGGAGGTCTTTGTGATCGGGGCCATCGCCAAAGCCATCGCCACCACTGTGACATACCCACTGCAGACTGTACAGTCCATTCTTAGGGTATGTCTGCATTCTGTTGATCACTTTTAAAGTGACACATATAATCTTTTAGTAGCTAGATTTGTGAATGTATGAACCTGTAACAAAGAAAACATTAATCTCAGAGATGCTTTTCTTTTTTGTTCAATCACCACAGTTTGGACAGTACAACAACACATCGACAGAGAAGTCAAAGCTGCTGTCCAGTCTCAGAACTATAAAGTGTCTGCTGGTCAACAGGGTGAGGTAAGTGTTTACACACGCATATTAACATACTTGCAGTGCAAATTGCCACCATGACATATGGGTTAGAAGGTCCTGGGTTTGAAGCCGCCATCTGACTAGCGTGTTCTCTGAGGTTTTGCCTGTGTCTGGCTGTTGTTCTATGAAAAAGTGGTGATTGAATTGGATAAGGAGAGGAAAATGGCTGGATGGGAACCCCAAATATGGTTTTGGGTTTTGTTACATCCACATTAGAATCTGCTTGATTTTGGGTGACTGCATTTAAACAGAGCATACTAGGCAACATGGGTTAGAATTACTATGAAGAACAAGATGAAAAAAATAGCTCCATTTGGTATTTAAAAAAATCTGTATGCATACAGAAGCTGCTCTGTTTGTTTTTTTTTTTGCGTTATTTTATTTTTTTTATTTACAACAGAAACCATTGCAAATGCATTACCATACACATCTGTAATAATTATATACAACTAACTGTACAATCAGACTCTAGAGAACTCATCAGGAAAACACACTGAATAATCTCTGCATTTATATTTTAACAATTAGATTAATTATATCCAGCATAACAAGCAAATAATCCCTGGTTTAATTCCTTGATCGAACCTTATGAATTAGCGAGTATGCTTTATATGGAGTATGGGCATTCATCACTGGGCCCTCGTGATGTATCATCTGAGTTACTGAATATTAATAATTTTGCTCTTTCACCTCTTGTTCTTTAACGTTTTCATGCTGGCTTTCTTCTGTAGGAAGTATGGCATGTTGGGTCTTTTTAAAGGCCTTGAAGCGAAACTGCTGCAGACGGTGCTGACTGCTGCTCTCATGTTCCTTCTCTACGAGAAGATCGCAAGCTGCACCTTCAGAGTGATGGGACTGAGCAACAACCACTACAAGAGGCGCTAGCTTACAAAGACACTTAACAATCCTGCACACTTGACCACAATAAAGGACAGATGAGCAATGGAAATCACTGCTGACAGACTGTATGAGTGACGGGGGCTTCACCTGCCTGGACACCAGTCACTTTTTTAAAAAGGTGAAACTGTAACTTGGGTAAGCCATCCAATAAAACATTACAAACTAAAGAGTCCTTTGGGAATTTATAGGTAAAGAGGTAATGTTTGATTATGTGGAAGATGAGAAGTGCAAAGTTTTGGGTGTTTTTTGGAAACAGCCAAATCAGAAAAGTTCTTCTGTCTCTCTGGGTTCTGTCTCCAAGTCATCCATAGACACAAGAGAGCACCAAGATCTGGGTTACGGCATTGACTCATCTCTTTAGAAGCACAAATAGAAAATCCTTGGTGGACCTGACTGTAGGAATAACTGTAGGAATAACTTCCTGTTTACCAGCAGCAGAATAAAAAAGATGAGTGTGTGGATACAAAGATTTTAAGAGGCAATTAGAAAAACGTAAGCACAAGAATTCATGTTAAAAACCAAAGCTTTATTAACACAGCTACTTTCAACATGGATGTGTTTGATTCAGATGACAGGCTTGGTTTGGAATGGCCCTCAGCAAACAAACATTTTAAGCAGCAGTTTTATTATGACCTGGTGGCAGGTATAGTTTTTAAGATGAGGGCATTTTACAGACATTGAAGGCCTTAAAGGAAACTGTATCAGGTGGAAGTGCATTGCAAAGTATTTGGGCAGGGCAACTAAAGGTTCTGAGTCCCATGGTAGTCAGGTGAACAAGTGGAATAGACAAAAGACATTGAATATCAGATAAATACTAAGGAGCAAGGTTATGAAGGTCTGTGAAAGTGGGAAGGAGGATCTTGAAGTTGATGCATACGTGAACTGGAAGCAGTAGGTATTAATGGGCCTAAAGTGTGGCAAGAAAATATACACCACCAGCATCCCAATGATCTAGACCAGACAACGATTTAAAATAAAAATCATATATATATATATGCATACACATGCATCAACTTCAAGATCCTCCTTCCCATACATATGTATATACATATATATATTCCAAGGTGGGCCCGCGTGAATTGTAGCTTCAGTCTGCTGTTTTTAGCCGCAGCTTTAATGAATGTTTTCCAAAGTACAACACCTATCAGCACATTTACCGGTTCCCACCAAGGTACGCACGTGGGGCTCGCACAGATCCCACAAGGTGTGATGGGTAAAAGCACCGCTGCAGCGTGCGCTCGGTCCATCCCTGTGGTGTGTTGATCGCTGGTGTAACACTTACGTGACGCGGCAGTAGACTTTCATAATTACGTAAGCACCTCAGCTCTGTGGCGCTCCCAAATAACTATTAAGCTTGACTTGTGCCTTTTCACCAAGATGGACTCAACAACGACAAAAGACGCGGAGAAGAACTGTGTTCTGTGCTGCCAAGAGGTCGAGATCTTCGCCTTGGGAAAATGCGACCATCCCGTTTGTTACCGCTGCTCCACCAAGATGAGGGTGCTGTGCGATCAGAAGTACTGCGCCGTCTGCCGGGAGGAGCTCGACAAGGTGCGCGTTCTTCTGCTACGTTAACCCGAGGATGGAGCCTTGTGGCATTAGCTAGGCCGTAGCGTTCTCATAGTTTTTACTCTATAAAAATAGGCACAAGTTGTGTGTTGGCATCCTAACTGTGTTCAGAATCAATTAAAATAGTCACCAGGGGAAAAAAGAGGTGGCAGCTCATTGTGCGTACCCACTGTGGAGAACACTTTTTCTTAGCTGTCATTAACTTAGCTAAGCTAACTAGCGAATATTAGCAAGTGCATAAGTTAGCTTATCTGTTAGACTGACACTGGTCAGAAAGAGTTGGTTTAGAAGCCGGATTTTATAATTGAGCTGATGACAGAGTGCTTGTCTATCCGACGTTTATGGGTATACCTCATTTAGCCAGGGTGACAGTAAACTCTATAATACATTTTTAATTGAACACGTTAGCTGTCACCTCTCAATTTAGCATGAGCTTTAGCGGCGCTGGTATGCTACCTGTTATTACTGGGTTGTGATAAATGTTTAATTGATATAGTTTTAGAGGTCATTGTGATGTCTGCCTACTGTCAGCCCTGAATAAATTCCGAATCTTGATTGCAGATGACGGAATGAGTCAAAACAAGTGGACGGTGGCCCCGGCCTCATAACACTCCCCTAAAGGCCAAATACACCTGTGATCAGAAGTTTACATCCACTCACTATGGGAATGAATGTCATGGTCGTTTGGGGCTATAAATGATTTCGTTCTTTCTCCAGGGTAAAATGATTGTATAGCACACATCTTTAATGACTTTGATAAAACAAGATAGGGTTAAATGTGGACACAGTTCCAGTAGGACAATGATCCCAAACACACATGAAAACTGGATTTAGAATAGATAAAGCAGGTTAGTAATAAGCCTCTGGAATGGCCTTCCCAAAGTCCCTACTTCAGCCCCACTGAGCATTTGTTGACTGTGCTTAGAAAACAACTCTGAGACTGACTAATTTGATTGAAGTCTAACAATTTTGTCAAGAATAGTAGTCAAATATCCAGCCAGGATTACAGAGAGCATTTCAACCTTTCAGCACTAAATTAACACGACATTCGTGGCCATGATGAGTGGACGTAAACTTTCCCAACAGCTGGATGTGGTAATGTCAAACTGTGTTGAATTGCCTAGATTAGACGCGTACCAAGTATGCATCCTCTGTACTGACGTGGTTTTGCGCGTGCATCATTTCATGTGATATTACAGTAGGTGTTTGTGTGACATCACTGGTATGCTTTCTATTTCTAAAACAATCATCTTCCTCCAGTTACCACAGGTTATTACTAATAAGACTGTCATGTTGTTTTCAGGTGGTGTTTGTGAAAAAACTGGAAGCCTTTCAGTCTCTGCCCTATCAGCAGTTCCACTGTGAGAAAAAGTATGACATCTATTTTGTGGATGAGAAGATCTATGCCCAGTACAGGTACTAGATGTCTCTATTCTTTGTGCTTGTGTTGCTCTTTGGCATTTCAGTTCATTTATACTACAAAACCCAGAAATAGCAGTAAGAGAATTACAGTTAATATAGCTGAACTGTTGCTTGAAAAATACAATGGAAATGTGTATAGAGAGCCATGCTGGTATTAACTAATGCTATGTGTGGTTAGAGATGGTGCTCTTGCTGTCTCAGTATATGGTCATATTGTAAATGTATACAAGCATGTGTATAAACCGGTATAACTAAAAGTCAGCTTTTAAAGCCTTTAGTGTTATCTTCTTGAACACTCCATGCTGTGTTCTTGTTTTGATTGCTTTTAAAGTGAGTCTAAGTTTGTGTGATGACTAAAGTGAGCGCTTTTATTTGCAAATGTGTAAATGACTTGCTTTAGCAGGAAGTCTCCTCAATCTGATCTGTCATTTAACTAAACAAAAACTTGGCTTGAATTTTGGGTTTTTCCTGCTGTATCCAACTGCCTTTCATGCCCCTTTTGATTTTTACTTGACTCCGACTGAACTTTTCCTCGATGTGTGTCTGTCAGGCATCTGCTGTTGCCCGAGTGTCTCCGCTGCTCGGAGCCCAAGGTTTTCTCCAGGTTTGAGGAGCTCGAGCAGCACATGAGGAAGCAGCATGAGCTTTTCTGCTGCAAGCTCTGCACAAAGCATCTAAAGGTATCATCATCATCCCTAAAGAGTAAATAAAGGGGTGTCTGATCGGGTTCTCAGTATTACATGACTACAGTAGTAGCACAAATGTACATGGAAACTTTGTAGCACAAACGGTTCTTTTTGGTCTTTTTCCTTTTAATTTACTGGAGCTACCACCAACAGTGTTCAGATATAAATATGAATGTTTAGTTAGTTACTCTATTTCAGTTTGAAGGCATTCGGTCATTGTCCTTGACAACAGTATCTGCTACTAAATGGTAACAAAAGCACTTACACAATACAGTTGTTGAATTGTATTAAATTCACCCTCCTTTTTAAGGTTGTTATTTGATGTATTGCTTTTCACACCGAATGAGAAACCGTAGCGTTGTTCAAGTTGTCTGTCGATAACTGAAAGTGCTGTGCATCAGGTCATTAACTTAAACGGTTTTGCTTGTACCATTAAGTCAGATTTACAAATTTTGCAATTATTTTTTTATGCATTTGTTGCTGTTGCATATAAAAATGGTGAGTTGGACAGACTTACATTTGCAGGCAAATAAGGGCTGGTTGAAGTAAGCCAGATATAAAGAAGACGGATGTCAATATCCTGATAAAGAGCTTTGTTTGCTGATCTCCTGAATAATTATTTACTTTAAAAGTTACTCTTTCCCTGCAGATCTTTTCCCATGAACGGAAGTGGTATAATCGTAAGGAGCTGGCACGTCACAGAGCGCATGGAGACCCAGATGACACCAGTCACAGAGGCCACCCGCTCTGCAAGTTCTGCGATGACCGTTACCTTGATAACGATGAGCTGCTGAAACACCTGCGTAGGGATCACTACTTTTGCCACTTCTGTGACGCAGACGGCTCTCAGGAGTACTACAGGTGTGTGTGACCCTTTCACCCATCCACACAAACCCTCCTTTGTTTTTGTTACCTAATGTAGAAGAATATTAAACCAGACTTTTGTTTTTAACCCTGCTACCAACAGTGATTACCAGTATCTGAGTGAGCACTTCAGAGAGAGTCACTATCTGTGCGAGGAAGGTCGCTGCGCCACAGAACAGTTCACTCACGCGTTTCGCTCCGAGATTGACTACAAGGCTCACAAGGCTGCAGCACACAGCAAGAACCGAGCAGAGGCTCGACAGAACCGCCACATCGACCTGCAGTTTAACTACGCCCCAAGACAGCAGAGGCGAAATGAAGGTCGGTCGAGGCGGTGGTGTTTTTGTATTGCCATACCACCAGGATTTCTGTTTGGCATTTGAGATGATCAAAACACATGCGTTCTTACAGGTATGGTGACAGGCGAGGACTACGAGGAGGTGCGTCACAACCGAGGAGGAAGGGGAAGGCCTCACGGGGGACAGAAAAGCTGGAGGTACTCGAGGTGAGTACAAATGACCAGCTCCGAGTTAATTGGAAGGGAGCATTAGTGGTGGAGCTGTCAGAATTGGAAGAGATGGCTGTTGTTAAAGGGTACATTCGTCTTTGTCT